CTTTATCTCCATCTTTTGACCAAGTGCTCAGATAAGCTCAGTAGCTAATATAAACTGTAAAGTCAGACAGGTGTCTCCTTTTTAAAAGACGTGATGCATGATAATTTTGTGAAGCATTTTTAACCTGATTATTTAACCCTATTGTATCAACAGTGTTTTATTTGACATTTGTCAAGAGTGCAGGTTCAAAATTCCAATCTACCTTTGCAGCCAGTTAGTGATCATCACTACTACAGCAGGTTTTAATTTAAAGGTACAGTTAATTTTTCCTCTTACCTGTAGTGCTGTTTATCGATCTAGACCGTTTTGGGGTGAGTTGCCAAGTGTTGGAGATATCGGCTAGAGATGTCTGCCTTTTCTCCAACATAATGGAACTAGATGGCACTCAGCTTGTTGTGCTCAAAGCACCAAGAAAGTACATTTGAAAAACTCAGCAGCAATGTCTCTTTCCAGAAATCATGATCCTGTTACTCAAGATAATCCACAGACCTTGTAAGCAGTTTCATGTAGGAACTATTTTCTTTCTTGCGAACCACACCAGCCAAACTTATCACTACACAGAAGGAAATGTGCATCTACTCATGGACAAGAGGCGTCCTCCCTGGCTGAGCTGTAAGGTTAGCTGGGGTTAACAAGGATATAGCTGTATCTTCTTCTACAAGATGATACAGTTGGTGCGGGTAGAAAGAAAATCCTACATGAAACTGCTCACAACAAGGTCTGTAAATTATCTTAAGTAACCATGTCATGATTTCTGGAAAGAGACATTGCTGTTGAGTTTTTAAAATGTTTTTTTTTTTGAGGGGGCGGGGCACTTCGAGCACCACAAGCTGAGTGCCATCTAGTTCCATTAAAAACTGAACCGACACCAATCATAGCCAATGCGAGCTTCAGGCTCCAGTGAAGAATTAGCGGATATTTGTTTGTGGATAGGCAGTGTCAGTACATTGTCTAACCTAAATCCACCAAAATATAGCAAAAGGCGGGTGTTAAATATTTAGTGTCAAAACAAATTAACTGATGTAGATTTTTATTACACGTGTAGTCCCAGAGGCCCTCACAGGGAAGAAACATCTTAAAACAGAAAATCTCTTTTTCTGGGACATAAGCAAGCTGAGGGGTGTTAGGGATTTAAAATGAACCCAGTATAGATTACAAATAGAGCTTGTTCATTACCTGTTTTTCTAGTCTTTCTGTCTGTCTGTGTCCGTTATTCTGTGTGTGTGTGTGTGTGTGTGTGTGTGTGTGTGTGTGTGTGTGTGTGTGTGTGTGTGTGTGTCCATCATTCTGTCTGTCCTGCCTGTGTGACTGTAGGAGTTTGTGCAGTCTGGCTCAGTAGAATATTATGGGGCGTGATGTAATTTTCTTATTGTCCCCTTTTTTCAATCACTTATTTGCCTCCTCCCTCGTCTCCTTTATCCCTCCCTCCCCCATCAATCCATCCTCTTCACTTGCCCCTTCACCCCATGCCTTCCCCCTCCTCCTTCTCCTCCTCCTCCTCCTCCTCCTCAGGCTCCTGCCTAGAGATTCTTCGGGGAGAAAGTCCGGCTCTTGGGGAGGCCGGGAGCGACTCTGCGTCCCCCATGTCTCCTCGGACTAGCAAGAGCCGCATGTCGATGAAGCTGCGGCGCTCCTCTGGATCGGCCAATAAGACTTAAACTGTAACAACATTACACAGCCCAGTCCGAACAGATCGAGCAAAAGTGTTTCTCCAGAGGAAATTTGGTCTGCAGTTGTACTTAAAAGTACCAAAAATGAACCATGACACACATGTAAATTAACCGCTGTGGGGAATTCACATATATATTCCTTTCCAATAGGGAAAATGATGGGTGATGTTCTCATGAATGAGCGTAACAGTCATGGGGTGTCAGTAGAATCTGCCTCGGCAGAACGCTTTGTCACACAGTTGTGTGTTGTGTCTCAAAAACACATGTAATAGTATTCTGTGGACTATATTACACTGTCCGTTTATTTGAAAATTGCTCACAGCTGCTGAATTTATCCTTGGCTTTGCTCTGAAAACCTCAGAACCCAGTGCTGCAGCATGCTGATCTTTGTTACAGTAGAAACAGCTGAACAAGTGCAGCCTGAGCAGTGCAGTATTACTTCATTATAATCTGTGCCATATTAGAAATCGCACAACGCCAGTGTAACCGGGACTGTTAAAAGCTTACGTGTGCCACATTATACACTGTTATTTTCTTTTTTGTTTTTATTTTGGAGAGCACATTCAATGAGATCAACCTGCCGAACAAAGAGGAATAAGACAGCAGAGGTCGGATGTTGCTATGGGGAATCTGTATATTTGTACTATAGTTGGTCCATGTGTGTACAGACAGAATCATGAGTTTTGATATAAAAAGAATGAATTCTGAATGAGTGCACCGGTAGTGTTGCATGGAGAAAGCAAGATAAAAGTCTATTTTTGCTCTCAGTACACAATTAGGCCTGTAATAAAAATAAAGGCAGGGGTCAGTTTCTATTCAGTCTATAAAATGTAAATAGAAACTCATTCATTTGGTAACAATAAAACAAAAACTTAAGTCGTGGATGGGCAGCGCTCTCAAGCCAAAAATGTTCTGTGTTGAAATCCAGAAGAAAATCCCCTCTTTGAACTTGTGGGACTGAGAGCTGACCCTTGGAGCGAGGCGATGTGAGAATCAGTGTTAAAGTAAAGATGGAGCGACTGGTTGTCTGATAAAGGAGAGAAAAGCACTTTCTCCAAAATTAATAAGAGAAACAGATCAAAGAGGAAGCACTTGTTACGTTAAGGTTTTTTTTTGTGTGCTCATGCTGTAAAATGTGGACAAGCACTGATGATCATTCAATTTATTGTCGGGTTTTTTTCCCTTTTTTTAATTGACTGTAAAATATGTTTTGACCCGAACAAGAATGTTGCTGTATTTTTAAGTTCAGTGTCGCTCTGTCATCTGATGCAATGGAACCACAGCTTTTCTTTCTTTGTTCCTTTGACTATATATTCTGTATATCTATATATGTATGAGTATAAATATATATATACAGTAGATATATGAATATCTATAAGGATGTGTACAGTGTGAGGAGGCTTGTTGTGTATATACTGTAATGTGAGAATAGCTGCCAAAGCCAAACTGTGGTTTAACTTGAGACCACATATTCACTTATAATGGGTTGACACTACAAGATTTTATGCTTTTTTCCTTTTCATAACCAGTTTGCACTTCATTCTCTAGGAATCTAAAGGTAATTTCATTTTAGTGCTCTTCTATACTGTCGATGTGCGTAACCTTGGTACCACAGTCTGATTCGGCAAGTCTTAGGCCATCATTTTCCTCACTTTTCATTGTTGACATACTGCTAAACGAGTTTTTATGGCAGGTTTAGTTGTGGACTGATATATATAATTAATTTTCACCACCTTGGTGGTGGTGGAAGGATGAAAGACAAAGTGTATAAAAGAGAAATGCTGTAGAAACAAGGCCAAAGAAGAAGAGAAAGGAGATTCATCGCCTAGAAATGAAATAGGAATGGTTTTGTGCTGCTTCTCTTTTTTTTTCTTATCTTTTTTTTTTAAAGTCCGCTCTTATATTTAGACTCATCCCCAGTTCCAGTTCTGGATGGAGGGGATCCGCGTGTTATCACAGTCCAGAAAATTTAACACTACCATTTGTGTATTTAACTTCCTCATTTCAGCACTCCATCAGCTCAGCTCAAATAAAACTGACAGGATTTCAGATTGGCTTACATCATTCATGTACTTCAGGGGTTTTCTTTATAAATGGTCACAGCTGTGGTTCTCCAGGGTTTGTCAGGATTGAACGATTTTCCGTTTGTTTTACATGCTGGCTTGTTTGCCACGTTTCTCCATGAATTCCTTTTCTCCATGGCCTGACTCCTGGTAAAGGAAACATACATATATATACGATCTTTATTTGAAAATATAGATCTGAGTTAAAGGTTTTGCATTATGCTTCACTGCTTGGAGAAAATGTATTCACAACTGTATTTTCTGTTACTGTTTGATTTTTGATTTCAGCCATAGATTCTCTGTAGAGAGAAAAGGGATTATTAAACCTTTTTTTTTTACCCCTCTGTGGGGTTGAAATTGTTACAGATTTGCCAGTGTAATATGAGGTCAAATTCACATTGTGTTACTTTGTGTGTGAATATTTGAAGTCAGCTGAGATTTGAGTTGTCCCTTTAAATTATTGCTGTTACAATTATTGTTAATGCTGAGGCTAAAGCACCATTGATTGGTTGCGACACGTGGTCTCGTAGCCCCACGGCACTCTGGGACTGATCTGTACATGCTGTATGTAGACCACCTGCGTGTCACCGACTACGTCTCAATTGGCCTGGTTTAATCCTGTAAACACTCTGACAACCTGAACCTGTTTACACCACATCCTGAACTCTGTCCCAGTACCTTACACTCCTTTATACTGTTAGGATTAAAATACCAGTGACTCCACAAAATCACTGGAGTCGTGATGGTGTTTTTATAGCCCCATGATTGGCAGCAACCAAAATACACAGAAACCCTCCATTAGCCACAGAAATGTCCCTTCATATATAAAAATTGTAACTTCTGTGCCCGTGACAATGGACGCTCTGAGCGTGAGGGCTGTGATGCATACAGGTTCAGCCGTTGTCCAGATGTTAGTTTGGAGACAACGCTGATGTATGTAACTACTGACTGTACATACTGCATGACTCCAGTCCAGTACTAACTGCATGTGTTATGGAACAGCTGTATCACAACACACACATGCACGCTCGCACACATACTCCTCAAACTATGTTACTGTCAGACCTGTAGTATGTAAACGTGTAATGTCTCTTTTGGACACAGAGAGCGTGGATGTGCGATGATGGAATTTGACAATAAATGATTCGTACCACTTGACTGAAGGATCCATTCATATATTTGTGTGTGTGTGTACGCACTACCTTTAAAACCACATTAATAAGTCAAGGGGCAGGACGTTGATCTTACTGTATTAACATTTATTGACAATAATTTAGAATAAATTTCACATTCAACCTCAAACATATCAAAATAGTATTGTATAGGCTTCATAGAACCACAGTTACATTTTTAGCATCATGAAGGCATTTAGCAAATATTCCAACAGTTATATATAATCAATAAAGACGAAAGACATTTTCTTTTACAAGCAGTACTAACATTAAATGTTCCATTTCTGTATGAAAATATTTTATAGCTGAGAACTTTACTGGCACATTTATTTTACTATAAAAAGGCATATTATGGTCTGTCTGATTATTTTCTTCTTTTTTTTTTATTGTTCACTGTACATGAAATAGTCTTTGAAATATTGTTAGGACATTGATTCCGTCTCCAGTTCTTGGGGTGAGGAAGGGCACTTTCTAAATGTAATTACAAGTCACTACATATTACACCAGTCAGTAATGTGACATAGACTCCACCTGGGCTTCAGTGTAATCTGATTACTTTGCAACAGAAAAATGTTGACATTCTGTTTAAATGTCTGCCTCATGTAGAGAGACTTGTGTTGATCATTGCTTCAGTATAATCAGATCAAATTTGTACCCTCTTATCTTAGTCATGATCAAAATGCCATTTCTGTCAAACTTAAGTTGTCCCATTCTCTCAAATCTTCACCAACAGTTGAGTTACTGTGATTAAATGTCAAATCATTTACAGAGAGCTGAAGCTGAAAAGAGATAGCATCATCTGTGCCAATACAGATCAGGACAAATATTCTCTTTATGAGAATAAAAAATGTAGAAACTGCGTGACTTCAGATTGCATTACTGACTTTACTCTTTGCATCAACAACCTAAATACTGATAAGATGTAAGATGTGTTTTGATTTTAGGATTTCGACAGAAGCCCTTTTATGGGTCACTTTAATTTCCCGTCATGTTAAAATTTCTGTCTTAATAATAATCATGCTATTAAACTGAACAAACTGCGGGAGATTACAGAAGCCATCTGTGTTTGCGGACATGGTGTCAGTAGCCTGGTCAGGGGTTGTGGTTCATTTGTAGGCTACAAGTTTCAGTAGTTCTGTTAGTTTCAGCACCACGGACAGTTCCAGTTTAACTGTCAGCACTTTCAGCATCACAGAAAACTTTTGTTAACTCTTGCTTTTGGTTCATCTTATCAGTTTTATGACCATGGAAAACGTCTGCAACCTTCTAGTGTCATAAGTGTCATTTTTTCTGACCTTTAAACCAAAGGCATAGTGCTCTTTGACCACAACTGACACACACAGCCCTCAGAGAACAATGGCTGAGATAAATGTTGTCTTCAGTGTGGATGAAAACAGCTAAAAGCCACATTTAACATGTTCCCTGTACTGACAACCAGTGACTGATTATTTTTCCAAATTATGCTGTTTGGCTTGTTTGAGTGTGTCTGTGTCTCGTGCGCGTTTTACGGTCGCACCGTCATCTGCAGCAGCATCACCTGCCGGCTTTCGGTGGGATGAGATTTGTTGATGTGTCTCGCGAGCCCCGGGGAGCTGAAGAATGTGGACGGACAGTGCTTGCACGTGTAGATCTGCTGCTGCTCGCACTCCCCGGCGCCGCTCTCGTCTCCCTGCGAGTGGAACACGTCTGGTCTGAGTCCTCCTCCCAATGTTCCCGCCAGTAACTCGTCCCTCATCGCGTGCCACAGACGGTGCTTGTCTCTGATTTCAACTGACGGGAAGCGCGCGCCGCACAGGTGACAGAGGAACACCTGGCTCTGTCCTCCACCGGTCTCGCGCGCCTGGCCATAAGACGATGGGGGCGGGGACGCTCGCGCTGTCATCTCGTGCGCGGCAAGGTGTTTCCTCAGGTAAGCCTGCCGGCGGAATTTCTTCCCACAGTACCGGCACTCGAACACTTCCTCCTCCGGTAAAGACTGGACAAACGGTAAGGGAGGATGAGGAAGTGACGGCCGCTGCTGCTGCTGCTGCTGCTGCTGCAGCTCCGCGCGCTCGTCTGGGTTGCCGTTTAGTAGAAGGAGGCTCGAGGGTGGACTGTCCGCCGCTCTCACCTGCTGCTGCAGCTCCAGACAGCTCTCAACCGGGTTCCGGTAATGAAGCGAGGAGTCATAGTGCGGAGGCGCGAGGCTGTCGCTGTCGGGGCTGTCCCGAGACCGAGCGTGGAGCAGCACCAGGGACGGCTCGCCCCTGATGCGGGAGCTGTCCAGCACTCCGTGGTGCTGATTAGTGTTAATACGCAGCAGCTCGTTCTCTTTGCCCTCCAACTCTACTGGCTGCCTCTCGTGCTGAAGGAGCCCTCGTGCCTCTTTTAACGGCTGGCTCTTGTTTGTCGGAGTCTCTCCTGCTTGGTTGTTTACCGGACGGGGTTTGTGCCAGCGGCGGTGAGATGCCAAGTTGGCGGGACAGCTGAAGATTTTGTCGCACTCGGGACAGCGGTACTCCACGCGCACTATGCGGGAGCACTTGTGCTGCGCGAGGGAGAAAGGGTCGGGGTACTCCTCTTTACAAAGCTGGCAGATGAACTCTCCCAGCGGCTGGTTCCCGGTGGGCGCAGTGGACTTCTCCCGCTGTCTCCTCAGCTCGGGACTTTCCTTCTTGATTCGCAGACCCAAAACTGGCGAGGTGGTGACTTCATCCTCGAAGTTCAGTTTCCGGTTCACTTTGGGTTTCTTTGACGGGTTTCCCACGGACTGTTTGTTGTGTCTGTTGCTGTTCAAGCGTTGGTCCTGCTCGAGGAACGAGCGTTTCCTCGCTGCGTGATGCTGCTCCTGGTTCATCAGTGTCAGCGGCGGGAACAAGTGCGCGTGACCCATACTCTGCTCGTATTTGTCACTGGGACCGTAGGACGGCGCGTGGCGGCTGCTGCTCGCGAGGAGCCTCTCGATAGAAGCGGACACCGAGGTCGGCGTGGAGCTCACCAGGAATGGAAGCTCCGGTAACTCCGACACTGGAGATGATGTCAGGCACTGACTGGGGAACAGCGGCTGCTTCTCTCCTTCCTCGTGGTGTTCCAGAAGTCGCGTGCCGACCGGTTTAACGGGGCTGCAAGACTCAGTTACGGTCAAGTCGCGTGGTGGTAGTGGAGGAGGAGGGAGGAAGCAGGAGAAATCACTATCAGGAGTCAAAACGTCCACCTCGCTCACCTGCTCCTCGGTCTCCGGTAATTGCGCGCGCCGGTCCGCCTCCGCCTCCAGCGCAGACTCCACGTGCGGGCTCCAAGCCTCTCTGACACCGGCGGAGTCTTCGCGGGACACCGGGAGTAGTCCATCTGCCCGTTCAAAGGAGAAAACATTCAACGCGCCTTTCTCCTTCCCGGCCTCCGGTTTTGTCGCCTCAAAGTTCTCACAGTTGCTCCTGTCACCGTCAGACGGTACCGGTTTGTTGTTAGTGTTACTTCGTGAGCGGTATGACGCCGCACATCGCCGGTTTCTCTTCACCAAGAATCCTCGAGGCATGGTGATGATGACGATGATGCTCGGCGCGTGGCACCACCAGGCGGAAAGAACAACAACTCTTGTCTCGAGCCCACTTTCAAGTAGAGCTTTGAAGTGGCGGGGAGAGAGAGGGAGGGAGAGAGAGGGAGAGGCGCGCGCAGGTGTGATGTGTGCACGAGAGAGATAGCTACAGAGACACAACAGTGTCCGTGGTGCGCGTGCTTGTGTCGATCCACCAGTCTCTGTCTCTCGCACACACACAATACAGACTTGAATGAGTTTTCGTGCAGTGCCAGTGCCGCCATAATTATAGGCTTATTAGTAGGCTAATTAGTGTTATTTAACTTATTTAAATTCAACTATCATAGGCCTACCTACATTTGGGAACAAAGAAGAACAACGACTAATGACTGGAGGTGTTATTTGGCCTAGTCACTGTGATTCATTTCTAAAAGAGATTCGGTTCAGTTTACCTCCCAAAATGACTTCAAAATTATATATGTCTGTAAGAGCAACTACAAGGTCAAATGTGCACTCACCTTCATCTGGAATTATGAAGTCCAATGAGACTTTTCTAGTCAAAGTTTGAGCTATTAACCTATGATGATGCTATGTATGAGAGTTCAACATTTGGTGCTTCATGGGATACACTATATACGACAGCACACACACACAGAATCAAATGCTCAAAATGTCTCCCCAATACACCCTATTGATTAAAAAAAAAATCCTAATTTCTAAAATAAAATGAAAAAAAAAAATGCTGTCCATTCACATGCAACTATGCACTTTGTCTGAAAAAAAATCATTAGCAAACGTGATAATCATAAGTAAACTAAACAAGTTGGCATTATTATTACTACTGGTCCTAGTTTTACAGTGTAAAACACACTGCACACTGCACACTGTACACACTGGTCCTAGTTTTACACTGTAAAACTAGGACCAGTGTGTACAGTGTGCTTGGTCTTATTTCATGGTACTAGTTATGAAGCACACACTCAATAACAAATAATTTGTTTAATTGAATAGTTTATAGGGTTTTTAATCTATATATGTAATGGAGAAAAAACATATTGTTTTGTAAGAGATTGCTGTTGATCATTTTACCCCCCAACAAAGAGAAAGAAATTAAAACCACGACTGAGATGGTTTACATTTTCGAGGTCATATATAGCACATGGCACCATATTCAGTTCATATAAGTTCTTCTTTGAATGCAGGTGTATTTCCAAAGTGGCAATCTGAAATACTTGCAAGGGCCAGTTTCCAATTTCCATTTGTGGAGGTCAAGCATTCCTCAGTGCCCCCCATCCATTGGACCCCAGTGCAGCCACGCTACCTGTACTGTTTATATTTACGCCCCTGTCAGGTGGTGAACCCCAGCAGAGGCATTGTTCAACTGCTGTGTGTAGTTACAATCACTCAAACACCATACTGTCTATCTTTTTGAGTGTTAAAGTGTTACTCATTAATGTTGCATTGCATTTGTGATTAATGTAGACGGTGGTAACTTTCATTTATTGCATATTCATATAGTAGCTTTACCTTACAGCTGTACTTGCTTATATGATAAATAACATGATAGGAAATAAGTTTTCAAATTTACCCCCAGCAGATTTGGTCCCCCCCAGATGTTGATTCCTTGCAGTGTATAAATTATAATTTATGTAAGTTTATAGGTTTATATGGCTTTTGTCATTGCTCTTACTGTTGTTAGTCTCTGAGTCATGTCCTGTCACACTGTGGTCTAACTGGGTCCTCTTGAAATACAGTGCTTATTTTTCTGAGAACTGTAGTTTATTAGTGTCATATTTTCCATATACTGTATGGAAATAAGTAGTTTATCAACTCAGATTTACATTAAACCACTAAAGTATTATTGTAATTGGTTCCATTATTCACAATGATTCTACTCGTTTAATTGTTCCACTCAGTAAAAATTGTCTTTTTTGCAGCATTTAGCCATAGTATAATTTTGTATGGCTTGCTGGAGTATGAAATAACATATTAGTTTTAATTGTTCCCACGTTAATGATGATCTTTTCCTCTTATTTGTGGGAGATGGTGGACTGTCACCTGTCACTGATGAACATGTTAACCTACACTATGTTCAAGAGGAAAACCTGATCAGATGTGTGTGTTGGAGTCAGTGTAGGCCGATATTTAGAAATAGTAAAACCCATGGGAACACAGATCATATCTTTTAAAGAGTACTAATGACCGTTTCTATCCTGCTGAAGTGTCTGATTATCTGTGTCTTTGTTGGTGGTGGTGGGAATACCTCGGGTATAGCTTTCCCTCTGCGTGTGTATGTGTTCACATGGCGTTATCTCCCCAACAGAATGACAATGCAGTGAAAGAGTGAAGAATACGGAGGGAGATGATGATCTGTGTGTGTGTGTGTGTGTGTGTGTGTGTGTTGGGACCATTCACACCCGTCCTCCCAGAAGCTGCTCTGGCTGATAAGAGATCGGAGGGAGATTCATCTATCCATCCATCCATCCTCTCCCCCCGGGCTTGGCCGGCCCCACCGTGCGGGCCAGGCGGTCTATAGCCCGGCCAGTGGGCTCAGCCAGCCTGCGTCGCTCCCTGGAAATCAATCAAGGCGGATGAGCGTGAGAACAAGCTTGAGGGTCGGGCTGCTGGCTTGATGAGGGCCGCCTGGGGAATAGAAATGAGATGGGTGGTGAGTCCAACACTAAAAACTAATTAAGCACCAAGCTTTCTAGGTTTTATGGTTGTTTTCACTGTAATTGTGAGCTGCTAATGTCTTCCGCACAGAGGGAACCTTTACACAGGTTCAGCCTGTATTGATCTGACTGAAACAGTAAACATGTGAGTGACTGAGGCCCGAGTCAGTTTAATGTCAATCATTTCACCCCACATTGTATTGTATGGAAATTGTCTCAAAAAGGAAGAAACAGACTATGTTAGGAATTACTAAAATAAAAAAAATGTTAATGGTGAATCAAAACAAGAGAAATTAATTCAAAATTCTAATTTTTCTTTCTTGTCTCATCATTTTAGATTGCTCTCCCATAAATTTGACCTAGGCAAAATTGTGATTTACTTTACATTAGGCTGCTTAGTTAATCATAATTTTGACATTCTCTGACTTAACCTGGTGCATAGGCCTACTTCAAAATGATGATGTATCACACCAACATCTATAGGCCTATTATTATTAGTATTATATTTGTGATTGATAACCAAGACAAAAGAGTGGATTGGGACAGAGATCTCTGCCATGAGGTTAAAATAATAAAACCCCATACTGTAAAACTTAAGTTAGTAGCCCATTTGCTTAAATCTCTGAATTCAACAGGCATATATTTGGGAAAGACATCTGTATGGGACATGTCTTTAATTCCTGCTCAGCAAAGATGGGAAATACAATCAAATTGTTTATTTGAAGTATAAAAATTAGGCTTCTGATAACACATTAATTATGAGTCATTCACTTGATCTATAGCTCTGACAGACAACGCATCAGAGACAGAGTGACTTATGGCACTGTAGGATTATGGCACCCGGCATACTGACACAACATCACTTTATCCTGTTAAAACAATACTCACAGCTTAGATTCATTTTTATGAAAAACCCTTTAGATTATTTTGATCGGAGGACCCTTATGGACTAATTGAATCTGAATAACTTACCTGTAGCCAAACCAGGCTAGTCAAACGGACTGGATGTTTCTTTGGGACTTGGCTTGTAATTGAAGTTTTATGGTATTTTAGAATAAAAATTGCAGGCTGGTGTAAGGAGGGACAGGAAAGAGCAGGCAGCTCTCAATAGTTTAAAAACAGGGTAAATGTTCTCAGTCAGTGTCCTGAAAAATATGGATCCACAGACAGTCTGAGAAGGCTGTTGGCTGGAGGACACATAAAGTGTGTGTGTGTGTGTGTGTGTGTGTAGTTTGCATCGCATCAGAGGGCAGTGAGGTGGATAATCCTCCAGACTGCTGAAAATGACTCTATTGATTTGTGCTCCTCAGTCACAAGCCTTTAAGTACTGCAGCATTATACAGCTGAGCTATTTGTGTTTACATAGAGTTTACATCTTAACTGATGGGAACTGTGTTTGTACAGAGCCAAATATCTGATAGAAAAATAAGGAAACCAGTTAAATTGAGACATTTCACTGGTTCTCACCTAATTAGATGTCTGGAATAGTTTTAGGACTCCAGTTAACGTTATAGTAACATTAGAGAGAGGTTTAATTTAGTGTCAAGTGTCAAATTTCCATCAGCTTGTTCATCAGCTTTTATGTGATGAGGTAATAAACACAGAAATCATCCATGAGCCCCTGTCAGTTCATTGCTCCTCTGCACCATGCTCAGGCTTCATCATAGTGAGAGTGAGAGATAAATCTTTGGTGTGTAGGCTCAGTAGTGTGACAATTGAGCTCAATAAAGCAATCATCTGTCGCCATCTAGTGGCACAGATTCCCAGGACCAAAAAATGATTGTTTGAAGCTGCTTTGTTGGCTTGTGTAACTAACTGTTTAATTCACTTTGGAAATAGTATTTTGACAAAACAAATCCAGCTCAAGATCATCTCAATAACGGTCAACTGTACATAATCATATTCATCAGAAGATGGACTGTAGGGCACTCTGGGTACAACCAACAAGTTACTGTCTGAAGACCGCAGAGGTCAGATGTGGGTGAGCAGGCCAGAAACACTGAGGAGCTGAGTTATGTAGTGCCTTAAAAACCAGTTCTCTGTTGAATGGTAAGCCAGTGAAGTGATTTAAGTATTGGATTAACGTAATGATGAACTACAGCAGCTGAACTCTGTGTGAGTTGTAGTTTTCTTGTTAACTGTTTTGATAATCCAGTAAAAAGAGCACTGCAGTAATATAATCTGTGCAAAATGAACACATAAACCAGTTTCTCAGCATCGGTTTGTGATATAAATTTTTTTAACTTTCGATATATTTCTCAGGTGATGGAAATATATTCTTGTGATACATATGTTATTTTCAAAATTATGTCAGCATCCAGGATGACACCCAGGTTTCAGACCTGCTCATTGACCTCTAGGTGGCGTGATAGAAAGTATGACATTACGTATTTCCTCGTCCTGTTTTTAGGGCCAACAAGAAGGATTTTTCGTTTTGCTCATGTTTAGCTGTAAGAAGTTTTGTGCACATCCAATAGTCTGTGTCCATAGTGCATTTTTTGAGGGTGTCAGTGTAAGGTCATTGGGATAAAGAGAGATATAAAGCTGTGTGCTGTCTGCGTATGAATGATAGGATATGTTATCATTC